GACAGGCGGTGGCGGCACGGACGGGGGGGGGGCGACGGCCTCCAACGCGGTAGCGAGGTCGAGAGAGAGAGATAAAAAGGAGGGTCTGGGTGAGTTCGAGAGAGACCCCGGCTACGAGTTGGTACGTGTACACTGTCACTGTTCGTGCTTAGAATAAAGTTATAAGTTGGTTACCGTTTACATCATCGTTACGTCTACTATCTACGAGTTACCACTACAAGCGTACATCACGAGTCTACAGATATATGTTCTCGAAAGTCAGTGGACGACGGCGGGCAGCGTTACACCTCACGTTGTCAAATATTTGCACACACGCATCACACACACGCGCGCACGCGCAGGCACAATCACACGCGCACCCACGCACACACATACCAATTTACACACACACATACACGCACATGCACACGCACACACGCATACATACGGATTGCACCACCGAGCGAAACAGCCGTAGGGGGGGGGGTATTGCCAGCTAAGTATATAAGGGAGACGACACCGAGCAGAAGGAAGCATTATTTTCAGGTCTAGGAAGAAGAGGAAAAAGAAGGAGAGGAAGAAGACGAAGGAGAGGAGGAAGAAGAAGAGAGGGAGCGAGAAAGCGTCAGAGAGATAGGGAAGAAGCAGAGGTTTTCAGGTATGTGTAAACCGGAGCCAAACGGGAGAGTGGAATAAAGCGAGAGCAGCGAGGAACGGGATTCCGGTTAGGTAGAGCCAGGCGTGGAGGAGAGGGAGACACCTTGGGGACTGCCTAGGTCTACGTGAGGAGAGGACGAACGTAAGAGAGGAAGACGAAACCGGCGACGCGTTACTTTGTCAATAATAATCTAGTGGTGATAGGATCTGCGGCACATACGAACGCAGAGGAATTATTTGTACACTAGTAACACGCAATAAAAACTATAACCGTACCGTAAACCTAATCTCACGGTGTTCTGTTTAATTGGTGCTATCTGTTATCTGCTACGTGACATCACCGTCCTGCCTAATAAACCGGCAGGAGCGAACACTGAATCCCACACTACTGGGACACGCGTTACGAAATAATGTCTGTTGAACCGTAGTCGGCCACCCCTAAGGCCACGACAGCTGTGATTTATCTACGAATGCTCATTGCATCTGCGTATGTAC